TACAAGAGTATGCTTAGAGTCAAAGCAAAGACGGGGAATCAAATGCTGTGTTGACCATAACTGCGCTAGCAGCCGCTGCCTCAATACTTTTTGCTTACCCATTGAACCACCAGCGGGTGGCGTAATGCGATTAATTCGCTGTAACCGATAACTGGCCGCTTACTGAAACGAAAGGGTGATTACTTTGAAAGCCGCCAAAATAACTGCTGTATGGTGGTGTTACTACCAATGTATTTAACGGCCAATAAAACACATTGGGTTGTGAGAATATAAGTCGAACAAATAAAGCATGTAATAACTGTCCTTGAATCCTAGGAGAACCCCTTCAAGTTCCAGGAATTTAGTCCGTGAAAATAAAACGGACAATAATGTCTTAAAACTTTCTGGGATAAGGTGATTAAATAATTTCCATTTCGGTAGCGGTAATCTAGTCTATCACTTAAGTTGTAGAGTACGACAAGCTCCATTGAATGCTTAGCGTTTGCTGTTATTGGTAGATAATATTATTAAACTCAAAAGCATGTCAGAATCAAAATATAGCGCGCATTTTGCAGATATATAGAAATGCAAACACCCTTTACTTTGAGCTACCTATCGACGATTACTCTAGCCTAAAAAAAAACTACTAAATTAACGATGGTAAGATATTTCGTATGCTCGCACGCAGACATGCCGGTCAGTGACTAAATTCAAATGGAATTGTCAGTTGCATTGGTAAACGTAAAATTTTTGTTTACAATAAGAGAACTTTCCTACTGTCACATTTATTTGTAATTATATCGGGATTTTGATTGCAACGAGGTTCAGATCGTCGAACTGCAGTTGGCGAAGAGAAATTGCAGACAGATTTAAATCGTCACCAAAATGGTCGAAGGACTGGCTCTTGCCGTTCAATGAGAGCAAGTGCAGCATCATTCAAGTCGGCAATATCAGTGCTTCAAGGAGTACAGTTTACCGAACAAATGGCATGCAACTGAAAGAAGTTGACGCCCAGAAGGACTTGGGTGTCTGGATCACACCGTCGCTTAAACCCTCCCTGCATTGCGCAAAGTTAGCAAAGTCTGCAATATCGGTTCCTTACCACCTCAGACGAACTTTTTCTGCCTTCAATGACGACTGCT